TCAATCATGTTCTTATTATTTGCAAAAAAAAATTGGGTTGCTTGGGATAAAATTTTCAAAATTTCCTTAGAATAAGGACACAGGAAATTACTTGAGAGCAAGTAATGAGATAAGTAATAATGGAATCTCCCTCATATTTAAAGCATAACATTATCCTCAATGTTTAGAGAAAAAAAAATGAAAAAGTAAGGATAAAAAGGGCAAGAGAAATAAAGAGAAGATGACTTCTTGAATGTGAGACAAAATGCTTAAAAAAGCCACTCCATTCTAAAAAATAAGAATACAAAATAAATAAAAGTGAACAGGTTGCCTCCTGTAAGTGGTTGTTTTACGTCACGAGCTTGACGTCCTATTGGGCTATTGTAAGAACATAGCCTATTGGGTGGAAGTTACTCCATCTATGTATAGTTTGGCCCTCTGACCATTAACTTGAAACATCTTTCTCCCAAATTTAGAAACTTCTAAGACCCTGTAAAGAAGGACCTTGAGTATTGTATAAGGGCCAATCCAACTGGACTTTAGTTTTTCAAGGAATAATCGTAGTTGAGTTGTAGATTAACACTTTCTCCTTCATGGAACTCACGATGTAAGATATGCTTGTCATGCCACTTCTTAGTGCGCTTCTTGTACAGCTTGGCATTCTCGTATGTCATAAGGTGCATCTCATCCAGTTCATTAAGCTCTAATAATCTTTTCTTACCTGCAAGCTACAAATCAAAATTAAGGAACTTCAAGGCCTAATAGGCCTTGTGTTCTAATTCAACAGGTAAGTGACAAGCTTTTCCAAAAATCAAATAATAAGGGGACATGCCAATAGGAGTTTTAAAAGCAGTACGATAAGTTCAAAGCGCATCATCTAATTTTAAAGACCAATCTTTTCTAGAACTATTAACTGTGTGCTCCAAAATATTTGTTAACTCTCTATTAGATACTTCAACTTGTCTACTGGTTTGGGGGTGGTAGGGAGTAGCAACCTTGTGGGTAACACCATATTTTTCCTAGAGATTATAAAAAATTTTATTACAAAAATGAGTACCTCCATCACTGATAATTGTCCTAGGGGATACAAACCAAGAAAAAATATTTTTCTTAAGAAATTTAGTAACCACCCTAGCATCATTAGTTAGTAAAACAGCTGCTTCCACCCACCTAGAGACATAATCCATAGCAACCAATATGTATTCATTATTAAAAGACTTAGGAAAAAGTCTCATAAAATCAATACCACAAATATCAAATATTTCACAAACTAAAATATTGTTAAGGGGCATATCATGCCTTCTAGAAATATCACCACTCCTCTGACATTTATCACATAATTTTACAAAACCATAAGCATCTTTAAAAAGTGTAGGCCAATAAAAACTATTTTGCAAAACCTTATAAGCAGTTTTAGTGGGCCAAAGTGGCCTCCCACCTCTCTAGAATGATAGTGCTCAAGAACTACGATAAATTCACTTTCAGGAACACACCGCCTAATCAAATTATCCCCACAAACTTTAAACAAATAAGGCTCTTCCCACAAATAGTATTTAACATTAGATAAAAATTTTCTCTTTTGTGAGGATAAGAGTCCATAAGGAAAGATTTTACTAACTAAGAAATTTACCAAATCCGCATACCAAGGTGCCCCAAAAATAGCAAAAATTCTCTCATCAGGGAATGTCTCTTTAATTTCTACCTTGGTGTTCTCCCTCACTGAGGGGTCTAATCTGGATAAGTGATCAGCAATAGAGTTCTCACTCCCCTTTTTATCTCGGATCTCTACATCAAACTCTTATAGTAAGAGAATCGATCGAATAATCCTTGACTTAGCATCCTGTTTAGCCATCAAATATTTAAGAGGAGAATGGTCAGTATAAACAATGACTTTAGACATAATCAAATAAGGGTGAAATTTATCAAATGCAAATATCACAGCTAGCATCTCCTTCTCAATAGTGGTATAGTTTCGCGGTGCTCCATCCAAAGTTCTACTTGCATAATAAATGGCTTGAAAAATCTTGTCCTTCCTCTACCCAGAACTGCTCCAACAGTTGTATCACTAGCATCACAAATAAGCTCAAAGGGTAAAGACCAATAAGGAGAAATAACCACAGGAGCATCAATTAACTTACTCTTAAGAGTATTAAAAGCAGATAAGCAAGCATCATCAAATTTAAACAATATACCCTTAGCTTACAAATCAGAAAGAGGTTTTACTATTTTTGAAAAATCTTTAATAAATCTCATATAAAATCCTACATGCCCTAAGAAACTCCTAACAGATTTAACACATGTGGGAGAGAGAAGTTTAGCAATAACTTCTACCTTAGCAGAGTCTACCTCTATACCCTTACTAGAAACTTTATGCCCCAAAACAATGCATTCGTCAACTATAAACTAACATTTTTCTCAATTTAAAACCAAATTAGCTTTTTTACATCTTTGTAAAACTAAATCAATGCTATGCAAACAATTATCAAAAACGTTGTCGTAAATAGAAAAATCATCCATAAAAATCCTAATACAATTTTCTAATAAATTAGAAAATAAGGCCATCATACATCTCTGAAATGTTGCGGGGGCATTATACAAACCAAACGACATCCGTTTATATGCAAAAGTACCATAAGGGCATGTAAAAGTAGTCTTTTCTTAGTCTTCTAATACGACAGATATTTACATGTAACCCGAATAACCAAACAACAATAAGATTCACGCCCAGCCAATTTTTCTAAAATTTGATCAATAAAGGGAAGCGAGAAGTGGTCTTTCTGGGTGGCCTCATTGAGCTTCTTGTAGTCTATGCACATTTGCCACCCAGTTACTTTTCTTACGACAATAAGTTTCTATTGCTCATTTTTCATAACTGTGGTTCCTCCTTTCATTGGTACAACCTGCACAAGGCTCACCCAAGGGCTATTAGAAATAAGAAAAATAATATCAGCATCTAATAACTTAATTACCTCCTTTTTTACTACTTCCTTCAAATTGTGGTTAAGTCTCGTTTGAAGTTGAACCTTGGGTTTGAATTTCTTCTCCAAGTGATTCCGGTGGGTGCAAATGAAAGGGTTAAAACCCTTGATGTCATGAATGCTCCACCCAAAGGCCTCCTTGTTCTCCCTCAAGACTCTCATCAATTTCTCCTCCATAATATCTGTCAATTTAGAAGAAATTATTACAGGAAGAGAAGAGGGAGGAGATAGAAAAACATATTTAAGATTAGAGGGGAGGGGTTTAAGCTCTAATTCAAGGGATGTTATTTAATGGATGGTTTAGGAATTTTAATATCTCGTGCTCCCAAGCTTTCAAAATGCCTAGGCACCAACCATCGACTCTGATTCCTACTCTCCAAAGCTAAAATTTCATCTATTACTTCCTCTGTTTCTATTAGAGCGTCTTTTTCAAGTGTGAGAATTTTCTCTAGTCCTCAACCTATCAATTAATTGTACACAATCTAACGAGGAAAAATGATCATTTACAGAAATAAAATTACAATAATAAAAAATAGAAGGGTGTTTAAGAGAATTAAAAACTTTAAAAATAACTTCTTCATCATTTAGCCTCAATGTGAGTTTCCCTTACCGGACGTCTATAATGGTCTTCCCAGTGACTAAGAATGGTCTCCCCAAAATAATGAGAACCTCATTATCCTCCTCCATGTTTAGTACAATAAAATCTACAGGTAAGATGAAATTGTCTACCTTTATCAAGACGTCTTCTACTATACTCCTTGGGTAAGTGATGGATCTACCTACTAACTGCAAAGAAACAGAGGTAAGTTTAGGTTCTTGCATACCCAATCTTCTAAAAATAGAGAGAGGCGTTAGATTTATGCTAGTCCCTAAATCACATAGGGCTTTATCAAAATGAGAGCTACCTATAGTACAAGAAATAGTAAAACTCCTTGGGTCTTTAAGTTTTGGAAGTAGCTTTTTCAAAAGGATTGTGGAGCATTCCTCATTAAGCCTTAACAGTTTCAAATTCCTCTAACCTCCTTTTATTGCTTAATATTTCCTTAAGGAACTTAGCATATTTGGGCATTTGAGAGATGGCCTCCACAAAGAGTATGTTGATGTGCAACTTCTTCAAAATTTTAAGGAATTTGTTGAACTATGGGTCTCTCTAACTGCTTCTCAACCTCTGCGAAAAAGGGATTTGAAGTTCTTGAGGCCTGAACATTATTGATGGTGCTTCTTTCTTTTCTTGTTCTGTTTCTGCGATGTCAGCATGGTCATGCATATGAGGGAGCACGAGCGTGCATACAGCAATATTCTGCGACTTTGGCACATTTCCAAGCAATGTCTTCCCGTTTCTCAATGTAATTGCCTTGACATATTCTTTGAGGTTAGGTTCAGGCTAGGAGGGCAACATACCTAGTTCTTTTTGAGTCAACAAATTTTTAAGTTGTCCCAATTATGATTTTATCTTGGATGTATCAGAGCTTATTTCTGAAAACTTCTTGTCCATTATTTGCGTTTGTTGCTCTATCTGAAGACTTTCTTGTTCCATCTAAGACTCAAGCTTTGAAATTCTCTGCTCTAATTGAAAGGTTGATGGCTCTCTCCTTTTTGTCCTTACCCCTTGAGATTCTATATGGTGAGGGCGATAAATATTTGAATTTTGACCTTCTTGGCTATTCTCCCATGAGTTCATAGGTTTTCTACGTCATCCAAAATTGTAACTGCTGCCCAAGAAGTTAGCCTCCTCAATCTTTAGAGGTTTTGCTGATGGATTTTGTGCCCTTAGTAAGAATTCCATTTGCTTTGACAGAGTTTCCAACTTATTTGTTATTGATTCGTTACTTTCTGCTTGGTAGATTAGAGCGGCTTCCTTCCTTTTGCTTGTGTGATGATCTGTATGCCATTAAAAATTACTAAATGCTATCTTTTTTTATCAATATATGGGCTGTTGTTGGTCCTTTGCGTAGGAAGGATTCTCCAGCAGCTGCATTAACTGTAACTCTATTAGAAAATGAGAGTCCAACATAGAAAATCTGCATTTGCTTCCACATAAGAAAACCATGATATGGGCATCTCCTTAAAAGTTCTCCAAAGCGCTCTCATGTCTCAAACAAAGATTCAGACTCATATTGTTGAAAATTGGAGATCTTTGTCATCAGCTTCACAGAGAATGATGGTGAAAAATATTTGGCTAAGAATTGTTATGTCAGGCCTTTCCACGTTGTAATTGAATTAGATGAAAGTGCGGAGAACCATGCGTTCACCCTTTCTGTGACAGAGAATGGAAAGAGGCGAAGCCTTATAGCATCTTTGGTGACACCATTGTATTTGATAGTATCAGTGAGTCAGAGATAAAGGTGGGGGGTCTTCGTTAGGTCGCCCCGAAAACAATATGGAGTTCTGAACTAGATTGATCAAGGCCGACTTTAATTCAAAATTTTTTGCCTCTATGTCACGTGCTATAATGCTCCCGGCATCACCCTCAGTAGTGGGTGTCATGTACTCTAAGATTGGTCATTCTTCTGCCATCTTTTTCTTTTCTCTACACTCTTTCTTTTAGCCTACGTGCGGTCTTCTCGATTTCTGAATCAAAAGCGAGTTCTATAATAGGTTTAGAACGAGTGAGTATAAAAAAAATGAAAATATTTAAATCAACCAAATACTCAATTTTCTTTGATATTGAAAACTAATCCCCGACAACGGCGCCAAAAAACTTGTTTATAGGCAAGTGTACCCATTAAAAAGTAATAAAAGGTTTTTGAAAAGAGTTTCCAAGTTATTGTCCCACAGAGATTATTTTCAAGTACCAAGAAGAGCTTCATTCAATTGTTTAAACGTAATTGTAATATACCAAAAATAGAGCATAATGTTAAAAATAAATTAAAAGAACAAAAATACAATATATGAGAGAGATTAGATGATATGAGCCTAGGACTTATGAGTTCACCAACTACACTTCTTTATGTTCTAATTAATTTAATCATGATATTGGTATCTAAATATTTGTCAATCACTCATAATTAGTTCTATTAACACCCAATAATTATGTAATGTCAATATTCTTTTCTCTGAGCATACACCCCCAATGATCATGCAAGGTAATTAGTCGAGAAAACATAAAGACTCTATGAGTTTGAAAGGAATTAAGTATGATTAACCTAACTCCTTATCTCGTTTTATCCTATAGTTCCGTTAATTACACGTGGTACTATTGCCTACAATGCAACTAACTATGGAATGCTAAGGGTAATCAAATCTTAACATATACAATATAATCTAATAGAATAAAAATCAAACATTAAAGAAAAACTAATATCAACATTAAAGTAAAAATCACACAAAGTTTGCAGTAGGATCTGCTATAGCCTTAGTTATAGGTTTAGTTACTCATAACCAAAAAGGAAAAATTAAACAAAAAAAAAACCTAGAAAGGAAGAAGATGAAGAGAGTTCTCGTTCTCTGAAGGGACACTCAATCACTTGCTTGGACTCCATGGAGAAGCTTGTCATCCTTGCCAATGGTCTCCAATGACTCTCAAAGATGAGTTTGGGTAGAACTAAGTAGGGAAAGAAGATGTGTAGTGTGGAGCATAAGGCCTCTTTATATAGGTTGTGACCTAAGTTTCCAGTCGATTAAGTTCTATCTTTTCAAACTGGTTTTATCCACAATTAGAATCTTAACTGAAAACTGCTCCAAATCTTTATTTAAGTTTAAATTTTAAATTCAAAATTCAAACTCAGATTCACGTAGCACAACTAGGACTAAAAGTATCTAATTTTTCTCCAAAATTTCTCCACAATGCACAAATAACAACTTCCAGCTAAACTGCAACAATTAATAACATAATTAGTGTAAATATATATAAAATAAGGTTTAAGTATATAAATATAAGTCATAAAATATATCAAAATATGAACTTATCACCTGCCATATCTAAATCAATTATAATATGTTTAGAGACCAGATACACAAATACACAATGTTGTATCAACCTTTTATTTTACACTAGACAAATTTTTAATGTAAATTTTGGCAGAATCTTTCCTAATATATGAATATTTCCTTATATTTGTTTACGTTTAATACAAAAATCTAAATTTTCTTTACATATAATCTATATATTAAATAATAATCTATTAATCAATGCATCAAAAACATACATATTACAATCCTAAACCATTCTAGAGCATATCCCCTTGTAACTCTATAATATGCATATTCTACAATCTCTACAAGCTTAAACAATCTCACACCACACAGTAATTAGGTTCGAGAAAGTTAGAGTATCATACTAGGAACATAATGATGCAAATTATTTTTTAATTTGATGCTCCAATCACTTGCAAAGGCAAAAAAATTGATCGTGCTATAGAGAGATAAAGATAGGGAGATGAGAGAAAGAAGAAATAAAAGAAATTGAGGAAGAAGGAAGAGGTGCAGTTTTGATAAGTTTTACACATTACAGATAGAAAAATTCATCTATAACTGGTTTAATAAAATGGTGTGTTACACAAGTTCAATTACAGATGAATTTATCCATCCATAAATCCGTCAAAGATAATTACAGATAGAAAAATCCGTCTATAAATAGGCATATGAAAAATTAGCAAAAATTACCATATTTGTAGACGAATTTTTTTTTTTGTCTGTAACTCTCACTCCAAATTTTTTTCTTAATTTTTAATTTATAAAAAAAAATTATCTGTAATTTTGTCTATAAATTTTTATGCCAAATAGCAAGTTGTATTATAGATAAAAAAAAATATAGACAGATTTTTTTTGAATTTCTCCAAAAAATTAAAAAAATTAAAAAAATTTGAATATTTGCTAAAAATTTGTCTGTATTACAGACAAATTTTTTTTGTATATATTTTCCATCTATATATGGCTTGTCTCTTGGTTTTTAATTATCAAGATGGTTGTTTTTAATTATTCATGCATTGACTACTCATCAATCCATTGTCACTCTAAAGGACAATAGAACTTTTGTTAGCCAAAGAATAGAGATGGATGTTTTCATTTTACTTGAAACAAAGTAATGTGTTATAATTGGAAAAATAAAAGTTCAAATTTAGAGATGATCGGGTGATATATTATAAATCGTTATTCTATTCCTAATTTTGCCGGATAAATTTTGTTGCTCACTTCCATTTTCTTTTGCTGATAATCACTAAAAGAACATTTTTTATCTCTGACACACTGATAATAACGAACATAAATAAAACCTGTCATCGCTGGAAGTTGGTTATCTATAAAATTGAGTTCGATGTCAAATAAGGTAAATGAAGAATAAGACCACAACTGCAACTTCTTGTAGAGAATAAAACTTGTTGAAAAAGAAGAAAACTAGCTATGACACCATACATTCATTGAGGTGGCTTATTGCTAGTGAAGCTACAGCCACATGCAAGAAATTCATTTGCAAAGAGGGATTTATAATTTCCTAGGGGCGTAATTTGAGCAGGTCAAGAACAATGTTGGCTATCCTCTTCGCCCTTGGAGTCCCAGTTTCTGCAAGATTAGAGAGTGAACGGTATGCTTCTTCCTCGTCATTAATATCTAGCAATTTTATATTATACACTTGACAGATCTTATAGAGAATCGAAATAGAGTATTCCTTGATGCTTGGCCCCGTGTTGTCCCTTATCACACCGAGAAGTAAGGTAACAGCATCATTATCAGCCAGTGCCTGAACAGCACTTAAATGGTCAGCGAGAAGTGCAAGTAGAGACATCATCTGTTTGACTTGGATGTTGTCTGTGATCTTGTCAATAATAACATCCACTATCCCTTCTTCTACACTCCACTCTTTAACTACATCTTCCAAACATAGGTTCGATAAAGCCGAAGCTGCAGCTTTCATTGCTGATTCATTTTCCTCACCTAACAGCTCCACCAAATGTTTCAAAGCGTCACATGATCCAAAGATGAGCCTATTGGTTTGAATGGATGACAGCAAGAAAATGGTTGAAGCTGCATTGCTTCTTGCTTCGATGGTTCCTGATCTCACAGAATCAATGAGCAAGGAAATGATCTTCTCATCCTTTCCAAATATTTTTCTATTGTCTTCAAGAATTGAAGCATTTAGAACGGTTGTAACCAAGTCCTCGTGGATTTGAGGATGAACACCATGAATGCCACCTGATAATGGACTGAGCAAGAGATGAATCACTTCTTCGTTCCCTAAAAGTTCTCGAAATGGTGGGATTCGCGCTGTTAGCTGGCGAAGCTCTTTTGCAGCTTTTAACTGTTGAGGTTCAGAGAGTGACAACTGGTAAAGCGAAGAATGCAAGCGGTGCTTGTGGTCTTCAGTTAGTTTTGCATAATCCCTGTCGTCTAACACAACTCCATTCTCTTCACACCACTTTGAAATCAAGCATTGGGCTGAATTGTTGGGAGTATGAGCACAGTCCGAAAGGATTCGCTTTGTCTGATCGCAAAGTCTGTTCACATCATCCATCCACTTCTCAATCGATTTCCGATCATAAGTCTGCACCATCAACATAATTCATTTAGTTCTACAACAACGAGGACCACCTCTCCCGTATCAAGACAATCTTTTCAACATTTTTTTAATCAATAGTTTTCAAATTTTCTATCTTTTATATCTAAAAATTCTCTTAATTATTAAATTAAAACATTATTAAATATTTTTAATGTTTTTCAAATAATTAATGGATGCACTTTTTTATTTAATGTTTAATCAAAAAATTATTTGGACATAATAAAGTTCTTAAATATTTTTGTGATTGGTTCATTTTTATTTAAAGCACCAGCTTGTTTCGTAAATTAACTCTACTTTATAAATTACTTTGACTTTTTTAAAATTGATCAATAACAGAGTTGTACTAAAAAAAAGGTATTCAAAAGAATATCTTACAATTCTTTTATTACAATGAGCAATGACCCTATTATGTAATTGAATTAAATGCTAACAAGTGCTCTTAAGTTTACTGTTTAAAGAATCAAAATATAATTATTATTTTTTATAAAAAATATAATGTATTCAAAAGATGAAGAGGGTTAAAGAAGAGATAAAAGTGTAAAGAAAGCGATAATTGTGATATGTATCTTAAAAGACAGAATGATAAAGAGGGTGAGAGAGAGAATGGAGGAACCTCTTTGTTGGTCAAGAAAATAGGATCCGTGATGAAGCGACCAGAGAGGGAACATCTTAACTCTGGGGGAACAGTTAAGTTGCCAAAGTTTAAAGAGTATTTAAAATCCTTGAGAGTATTAAGAGCTTGGATTGCATCGTCGAAGGCTAATAGCGAGGTGTCATCGTCCTCCACAATGCTACTCATCAATTGCCGCAACTTCGCCTGCAATCTTTTTCTGTTGTCCTCGCTCCCCATTCCCTTTTCTTCAGAGTTATAGAGTGTTGATGAATCTTGATAACAGAATTACAAAGACTCGGAGTTGCATGTCTCTGTAGCATATATATTCGCACAGACCATGCACTTTCCAATCATGCAGCAATATACATGCATCATTAGGACACATGATTACTAATCTAATAATTTCAAAATAAAATCATCATTAATAGATTATCATCGTCGATTGACTTTAATAAGATACTTAAATTATGACTACAGAGGTTCAATATTTCTTCTCCATGGCCTATTATCACGTCTCTTATACCTTCGGACACACGGTATCTTTCTTGGCTCCACAATTACATATCAACAAAAAATTTAGTTTTTCTAAAATAATTAAACTTGAAAGATTCATTATTAATTAATTTTATGGTTTAAAATGAGTGTCACACAACGTACTTGAGGAGCCGCATACGAATCGTTTCCAGCGTCCTTATCATTGGAAATCCTGTTATTTTCGCACCACATGTGGCCCATGGGAAATCCAACTTCACTTATGATTGATAGCATGTTTGGTTTTACGTTTAAATGTGAACAGAGTTCCTATATGTTAGAGGCGTTATACCTACAGAATAAATACTTCCATAATTATTAATGTTTACTTTAATTATTGCATATTTCGCAAATGCTCCTTATTATTGCATAAGTTTACCTAAGCAAGTCCAAAAGACAAAAGACAAATGCTCCTTATCAGCCACGTACTTTGTACTTTGAAAAGTTAAATTAGAATTGACGAGTTCAAGGTGATTAAGTTAATTACTTGAATTTAGAGTATCTTTAACAGCGCAATTAAATGGAATTTGGAGCTGTATAAATTTATTATTTATAATTTTAATATGGACTTTGTTATACATTTTTTTTTTAAATTTCATACAACTTGGTAATTATTTTCTCCAATGGTACACCCCACTAAATGAACTCCGTCATCCATCTTTTCCCATCAAATAAGCTCTACGCGTTACTTACATCTTGGTTAAGCAAGGATTGCTTACATGTGCAACGGCAGGTAGTTTGTTGTGCGAAACAAGGGAATAAAACTTAAACCAAAACTACTTTTCCCACTCACATTATCGAATGCGTAATCATAAAATTTATTCTATGAATTTATCAGTTTAAAAGATCACTCAATCAACTCCTTCTAATCCAAAAATCACATCAAAGGTTAGCATCACAAACAATATCTTTTATGCAGAGTTTTCCAGGATTCCCTGCGAGTGAGGGTGTTCAAGGCCTCAATTAATTATGGTTGCAATCTGCAGTTATGAATAGGCACAGCCATAGAACGGAGATAACAGCTATTTTTAGTGAATGCAAACATCATCTCTAGTACATCAAATTTCGAGCTGTTCCCATAGTAATTTCCCTCAATTCTACCCTCCTCTTTCTATTATTACTCCTTATATCTAGGCACACAAAGCAGGGACTTACTTATCTGACCTTGATATCATTTTTGTTGCAGTCAATCCATCACATCTGAAACTCTTCTACAATACAATGAATAAACCAAGCTAATTGAAGAATCTGTCGTTCAGAAGCAGCAAATATGAAAAAAGAGAAGCGGAAACTCAGATAGAAATTGAAAGACTGTTGTTTCTAGCCAATCTGAAAACAGAGCACAAAAAATTAGCCAAGCCAAAAGCATTTTTTATCCAAGATCATGATGAAATAATCAATACATTTTCTCGCACTAAATAGATGACTAAATAGTGCAAACTTCGACCAACCTTTGCATATTCTAATCTAAGGTTAGGAGCAAGTGATTGGGAGAGAACACAACAGGGGAGTTGTTATTGATACAAAAAATACTTGGAAGTTCAAAAATAGTTTAAATCCAATCACAGCTTATTGAAGCATAAGAAAAAGGGAAAATGTTCACTGAAGACTGAACAACAACAATAAGAAGATAGAATGTTCAGGTGTCACTACAGCTGCTTCACCTTAATACCTAAAGCCTATATATAAGATATCAGAACCCAAATAATTTCTCTCCCAGTAGTTGAATGATTCAATATCCTAAGTAAAGTGTCATCCAAACTGCTTTATTTCTCCTAGCACTGGCACATAGCCACACACGTAATATAGTTGACTCAAAGGAAAAAAAATACAAAAACTTTCTTTTTTGTTAAGTAAAACAATCAGAGTGAGTTAGAAAAAATCTGGTGATGTAATAGATATTATCATGGTTGCCATAATTGGCATTTTATAGCTTTTCTCTCGTGAGGAAGAATGAAGAACACAATAATAATAATAAAATAGCACAGGCAGTAACAACAATGAACAATAATAAGATCGCTCCAAAGAAAGTTTGCTTAAATGGACTTTCACAATTTAGGATACAAAGGAGGATACAATGATAAAATCGCTGAAGCTTGACAAGTCATTACTGCAAAGTTGTGCAAAAACAACATGTTAAAAGTAGAACTTCATATTCAAATTTATATAACATCCATAGGAAATGTAACTTCATATTCAAATTTATATAACATCCATAGGAAATGTAACCAGCAATATCTTACCCACGGCCACTGAAGATTTAGTGTCTTTGATGTTTTGCCCAAGACAAAGCTAACGGGGTTTCTTATCGTAAATTTTGCCTGATTTGATATGGTTAGCATCAGAGGAAATATCTTCCTCACAGATATCAAGAGATTCTGAAGGATCATATCGATCTGGAAATGCATTACTCAGGAAAGAATCTGAAATGTGACTCCTGTGAGTATCCTTTGGCCTCTTGTCCCTGGTTCTTGACGAGCTATAATACTTCTTTCTATTTGAGTAATCTTGTTTCTTATAAGGAATGCTACGATCATGTGGCCGACTATGACTTCTGCGTCTTTCAGGGCTTGTAGAAGTTCGATCTCTATAATATTTTCCTTGATCAGCATCCTCTTGATCTTCCCTGTAATAATGACTCGGATGATCTCCTTGTTTGTGTTGTTTGTAATCCCTAGAAAAAGTATCTTCTACAGCTTTGCTTTTATCACAAAAGTTAGTGCGTGATTGTTTCTCACAAGTTGGGTTACTGATGATCATTGCAGGTGAGTCATGACTAACTCTTCTGGAATTATTAGCTTCAGTTGGAAGGTCATGGCCAGCAGGCTTAGATGGAAACAACCCACTCTCTTCAGACACCTTCACAGGGCTCCCTACACCTCCAGACTGCTTGATTTCCTCCATGTATTCCTCTATCATGTATCTCATCACCTTCAAGAATGAATTTAAAATTAAGTATAATCAAATTAAAAAAAAAAAATCAAAATTTCTCTTGAAGTAATTGATGCAAAAGTAGTTTTATAACACATGAGCTAAAACAAATCTCTGCCACCTCTTATACCATGATTGAGTACTTGAAGACAAAATTTCAGTAACTAATTCAGTAGTTCTAACCTGTAAAGGTGATTGATTTGTCTTCTTGCCACGATAAGACATTCTGCGACGTTTGTAGTCTCTTTCTTCAGCCAGCAACTCTTCTCGGGTCTTTTCTCTAGATGTTTCCTATAATTGATAGCAGAAAGTATGTCAGTTATAGGTTAAGCAAAAGAAAACAATACTCACTTCCACGACCAGCATGCTTAGCCTTATATAACAAGAACTTAGGTATAAATTTAGAAAAAAAAAATTGCTCCCATGTTATTCGAGATCAGAATACCTGGTTAGCTGATTGCTGGCGATAAAGGCCATCATGATCAATTAGGGGTCTATAATCATGACGCTTTTTCCGCTCTTCATTTGCTTGCTCAGATAAATAACAATGCTCAGCAACCCTAGAGAAATAAAGCTCTATATATTCAGATTAAGCTCATTATCCACAATCATTTGATTAGAAACGATCAAAGGCAAAAATAAAAGACACAAGACACTGCTCATATCGATTAGGTTTCAACAAAAAAAAAAAAAAACATTCAGGAAGGCAAATATACATAATCGAATGACAAGCAAGACTTGGGAGAGTAAACACAACATACAGCTGGTAGTTACTTGGCCGCTGAGAAAACCAAAATCCCTTAATTTGATGTTCAAGCAAGGATCGCTCGTGCAATGCCTCAACAGCTTCTTCAACTTGGGACACAAAAATCTTCCTATTCTGTATGTAGTTGGTGTTTTCTTCACGTTGAGCATCCCCATTGTCATTCTGAGACTCTTGCTTCGAAACAGAGGCTTCGTCCCCTATAGGGAACAATAACAGAACGGAGGCACCAACACTAATACATTTTTTCAATAAATCAAGAACGAAAACCTTTCCGTTTGTTTCGCCGTACAGAATGGAAACCTGCGATGCTAACCACGTTAACGCCTGGTTCAAAACGGGGCACTCGAACAGCGACTTTTGCTGGTCGAGGGAAGCGGAAGCTTCTCTTAGAATCGACTTGAGGCACAGACAGCACAGTAAAAATATATGCTCCTGCGTAGGCGTATCAATAACGACGCCGTATCGAGGCGAATTTGCTATAATCCAGTTCGTTAAGTGACGGAGGTTGGCGATTTCAAGAGCTGAAATGGCACGAAGAACAGCGTTGGAGTAGGTGGAAGGATAGTGGTTCCAGGATTCAATTTCGCGCGTGATAGCCCAGTAGTGAGAAGGAAGAATGGGTGCGTGGTGGGACGCTCTCTCGGGATTGGAATTGTGAGTGTCTGCACATTGACGATATAAAAAGGAGGGAAGGGTAAGGGTAGGGATTGGGGTGGTGGAGGGTGCAGGGGAGAAAGCTACGACGGCAGGGGAATGACGATAGAAGAAGTTGGAGGAGAAGAGGTGGGGAAGAGGGCGAGGAGAGGAAGGGCAACGAAGGTGGTGAAGGAAGAGAGAGTGAGGGGGAAGGAGGTGGTGCGGATTGAAAGGGCATTGAATTAGATTTGCGTTTAGGGTTGGTGGATTGGGTGTTATTTGCAGAATATGGTTTGACAGAGCAATTAGGTTTTTGAGGGATGAATGCGTCGAAGAGATGTTAGGGCTCGCACATGGATTCATCGATGCTGTTGCTTTGCTTTGCTTTGCTTTGCCTTGCTTTGCTGCAATTGCACGTTCAATTCGATTATGGCACTAAGCATGAGAGGCTTGGAATTACAAGTTCAGATTGTGGGTAGTGCTGTGTCTGGTCCAAGTGTACCCATCATAGTCCAATTCTTCTCTTCTATCTTTTATTTGGACTACAAGAACATGTGAGATCTAACCTGTTTTCACATATATGACCCAAAAATAAAAAAATTTCTCTGTTCACAGCTGCCATGTTCGTTTTCACCAAACAAACGGCAAAACAAAAACAAAACATAAAAACTAAATAGTACATAAGCGTACGTTGAAGCTGCAATTGCCTGGGACAAGCTCAATTTAAGCGAATGTCACATGTCTTGGCTATACTGTTATTTTTCTTAAGCTATTTTTATTATGCCCTTAAACCATTAATACATAGAAGACTTTCGTTACGATTTACAAAACCGTAGGTTGCCCAAATTTTCTAATTGAAATAAATAAATAAATTTTAAAATACAAAAAAAAAATTATTTATTAATGTAATAATAATAAAATTAAAATAATAATAGAGCTAATAATATATTACATCTTGAAAAATACTAATAAATAAATAAGTAAATTTTTTATTTCTTTTTTAGTAATACATATTATTAGTTATTTTAAAATAATTTATAATAAATATATATCATAGATAATAATTGTAATAAATTTTAAAAGATAAATAAATAAATATCAGCATACCTGGAATATTAATATTATTACATGAAAAAAATAATTTTTTACATTAATTAAAAAATTAATAATGATGTTAACAAATATTTCATTTACTACCTAAAATGTATATTTTATTTATAATTATGAGGAATAAATTAATTTACAAAATTATGATACATAATAAATTGATAATAATATAATGCATTTTTTTAATATTTTTAATTTAGTTATTCTAATAAAAATAAATAAAGAAGCAAAAGTGATAGTGAAGTAAGTTACTTGATTGAAAAATTGAACTTGAACACAATAATGTGATTGGGACTAAGGAAGAAAGGGAAGAGTAAAAAGTGGAGAGAAGTTACAAATGAATAGAGAAGAGGGTAAAAATGATGTGAACATACTAAATATGAAGGCCTCAAAGAAATTTTTATAACTCAAAGATAAAAATGAAAAAAATGAAAGTCAATAAGAACTTAGGGTTCTACATAGCACATTCCACATAATCATACAATCAAGATAATTTAATTGATTATTTTCATAATAGCATAAGAGATAAGATAAGAAAATATTCCTCACCAAAATAAGTCTCTAATTACTTCCCACAACTTAGAAAGATCAAGTCTCTTATTTATTACATAAAATTATTCGTTACTAAAAGAATAAGAGAATTAAAATGAGTATATAATATTTTTAAATTTAATTGCTTCCACTTACAAAAAATTATAATTTAAAGTATGATAATGTAAAGAGAGTATGATTATTTAAGTTTAAAGTAAATTTGAGAAATAAGTTTGCATGTTATTTAGAAGGAAAAAATAAGGAAGAGTTGAAATAAGATAATGAAGAATTGAACAAAACTTCTATAACAATATTTCAAGTGAAGATTACCTTATTTTATTTAATCTCTTACTTTAAATATCTCTTTTTAATATTTTATCTCTTAAATCTCAACCACAATCACTCAATTTATTCTTAAAATAGTTGTTAGAAACATAAAAGAAAATCTTAAACTTGCTTCAACAACAAATATAAAAATGAATTTGAGATAATAGGATTGAATTTTACTTGAACGAACAATTATGTTTTTAAAGATATTTACTTTAAAAAATGTTTTTAAATATCTAAAATATTAAGATTCGAATTAAATTATAAATATTATAATTTTTAAAATATGTTTTAACAAATTATTTTATTAATTTATTTATGAGTCATATAAAATATTAACTCGTTTTATTTTTTGCTAATAAAATAATACAGGAAAAGAGATAACATACATAAACTATTTTACTCAATTACTAAGACAATAGTGATATATAAAGACAAAAATACTCAACCCTCTTCCTCATGTCAAACCACCAGCATACATACATGAACTCTGTCCCCGGTAACTCCCCAATACAACCACTATTCTCATATAACTATTTTTATTATTTAAAATAATTATATTATCATTTACAAAGTTTCTATTTTAATAGAATAAGGATAAGGCTATTATAAAAAAAAGAATTACATTATTCCACCAAATACGTATGCATATAAAAAACTCTTAAGAACAAAATTATTTGTATTGTACATCAATTACCCAATATTAAACTATATGTGTTTGACCCACTTAATTATACTGTTCTGTCTGCTTGTGCCATTAGTTTTAAGATATGAATTTGAACTTTTGTATTGGCAAAAGATTAAAAATAAAGCACACCATGTTCGGCCAACTGCTAGTAGGTCAAGATATTAAGAGTGGGTATGTATTAGTCCAAAAGAAAAAAGATAAAATACTTTTGTATGGGGTCGAGAACAATCACAATCCTTCCATTGAATATTCCAAGTTCCTAAAACTAACTCGGATTCAAAAAATTTGAAGTCCTTATCATAAAATTTTTTAATTTACCTGCCTTATAACAACTCTTCTTTTCGGTACAAGTCGTGGCTTATATGCTATGCATTTTTCTACAATTCTGGTATCTTTCTAGGGTATGAATCATTCATTTAAATCAATCATGAATTATATTGTGATTAGACTTTAGAACCTTTGGTGGTGTGTTTGAAATCCTTCGTTTGTGAAAGAAAATTAACAAACTAAGCAAGAATGTTAATTTTTCCGGATAGAGATCGAAGACTTTGTTTACAAGATAAATATGAAATGGACTCTCTTTTCTTTGTAGATGTATCAATGATGATTGCGGGCCTATTAAAATTTAATACATTTTTAACTCGATTCCCTAAGAGATTTTCCATTATCCTCCACTTACTCTTCACGATGACGATATTTAAACAGTAACAATTCTATTAAAATGGAAGTGCGTGTTGAATTTAGAACTTTTGATATTTACAACCTGTTTGGTAAAGTTACAATGGCAAAAATTTATGGTACCCAATTGAGAGGGTACGGAAAACAATTCTAAGTAGTTTAGTTATAAAAAAACGTTAATACTTTCCTATCTTTTAAATATTAGAAGAATCACAATCATTCAATATAAAGAGTGTATAGAATACCTTTTCAAATTACAGGTACCACATCAAGCACATACAAACTTTGTTTCATAAGAAGTGAAAAATAGTTATTTTTGTAAAAGTGGATAGAATGTATGTTTTTACCTTTCAAAAAATAAAAAATAAATAAGCTCTAAATGCTCTTAATTAAAATTAGATTTTTCTTCTAATTTATATTTAGCATGTGTTTGAATTGAACGTTAAAAAGTTATTAAACGTAAATTTAATATAAAAATTAAAACTAATAACATTAAAGTAAATGTGAAACATGTACTTAGAATAATGTTTAGTAAGTACGTATAAGTAAAAACTAGATGGTATGAATAAAATTTCTCTCAAATTAACTTATGTATTTTGAGAAGTTAAATAAGACAATTATAAAAAATAAAGTAAAAGAATATAAATCGATATTAATTTATGAAAGAAATTTGATTATTTTATTTTCTTATTTTTATCTTTTGTAAGTATTTATTGAAAAGTCAAACTAATTAGATAAATTATAACTTTTTATAGAATTAAAAATTTTACTGCAATCTTTTAAATAAAAAACATAATTTTAAACTCACTTTTAACAAAACCTAATTCTATAAAATTAAGTTGATTTAAATTCATAAACACCGGTCTAATTCATGGTACACCAGTTCCCATTATAAAAGTAATATTTGAAGCACAAGTAGTGGGTACAATACCAATTTTACAAGTTATTACTGAAACGTTTATGATGTGGAGCATCTTAATCTAAATTTCTTACAATCGTGGGGTCACTAAAGAATGCTTCAACCACAAAATAGTTAGATAATCTCACCATTGGTAAAATATATATCAATGGCCCAGTCCTATAAATACCTAGCTTCCCATGCAATAAAATTCAAGCATCCCAAGAAAACTCTCTCACACACACAACCATTAATTACAAGTTAGTAGAGAGAGGGAGAAAATGAAACTTGTTTACTTCCTCGTTGCATTATTGGCTTTGGCATCCTCTCTTGCCTTTGCTTATGATCCAAGCCCCCTCCAAGACTTTTGTGTGGCAATCAATGATACCAAAAATGGAGGTATGTTACGTAAAACTTGTTGCTCCATTTTTTTGTCAGAGATATTCATGTCAAGAATAGTCATAAAAGTTTTTTTGTGATTTGGTTTTTAAATTTTCAGTGTTCGTGAATGGAAAATTTTGCAAAGATCCTAAGCTTGCTAAAGCTGAAGATTTCTTCTATCCTGGATTGGGACCAGGAAATACCTCAAATCCATTGGGTTCAAAAGTGACTCCTGTGACTGTTAATGAATTATTAGGATTAAACACACTTGGTATATCGTTGGCTCGCATAGATTTTGCTCCCAAAGGTCTAAACCCTCCTCACACTCACCCTCGAGGGACAGAAATTCTTGTAGTAATCGAAGGCACCCTCTATGTTGGTTTTGTCTCATCCAATCAAGACAACAATCGACTCTTTACCAAATTGTTGAATAAAGGTGATGTATTTGTGTTCCCAATTGGTCTAATTCACTTCCAACAAAATGTGGGTTATGGAAATGCTGTGGCCATTGCTGGTCTTAGTAGCCAAAACCCAGGAGTTATCACAATTGCGAATGCTGTGTTTGGATCTAAACCACCTATCTCTCCTGAAGTTCTCACCAAAGCTTTTCAAGTGGACAAAAATGTAATCGACTACCTTCAGAAGCAATTTTGGTACAACAATAGTTAACACGGGAACATGAATCGTGCCACCATCATGCTCGGACCTCGGATAAATCATTTTCTAAAGTTTGCCTCGTGCAATTGATTATCTCAAGCAATTACTACAATATTAAATAAAATCTCTGTGGCTATAATGTGTAACTGTTGCTTTGTGTGGATTTAAACTTCGTTTGTTGTATCAATATTGCAAGTTTAATAAAGAACACTGTTGTGTCTATATAGCTCTTGTTCAGCGTCTGTCCTGCGCAATGTTAACTATTAATGAATTCATATCTTAATTATACATTCTTTCATAAAAGAGAAAGGGAGGTTAAATTTAGGGATGACAATGGATAAGGTACTATAGTCTCTATTTCTGTAGCCGCATTTTAAAAAAATATTTGTACTTAGCCTATACTCGCATGAGTATGAACATTAATCCTTGTACCAATATCTCTGGGTACCTGCATACTCATTTTGTATCCATTAGCCGCGCTTATTTGAGAAAAAAAAATATTTATAAAGAAAAATATGTTTATATAACTTCACATAAGTACCCTAATAGTACAAAATTCAATAAATAGTTGCCGAATAAGGTACAAACATAGATAAAAAAAAATATTCAAAGATCACAAGTGTTAAATGTATCTTAATACAGTAATTTTCTAAAATAAAATTCTTAGAAATAATAAGTGAAATTAAACATACAAGTTATTTGCGATGACCCTATCTTATGTGAGATTCGATTGATCGATAACATCAGAGTGACAACGAAATAGATCTGCACAATTTGTGACCCTTCATGTGGAATTACTTGGTGACCTCTTGTATCAACATTGATAACTAACTCCAATAAATAACATTTCATAGTTGCTAGACTTTAACATATAGCCATTGAAAATGAGAGTAAAGTTAGGGTAGAGAAGTTCAAGTAGTAAAATCATATTGACATTTAAATCATAAAGTAAATGATAAATAATAAACATACTGTAAATATTTTATAAATTTTGCAATTACCTACTATTATCATAAGCTTATTATTTATTGATAATATTTAAATTTTATTTTTATATTTTAATTTAAAATAATATTTTTTTAAAAAGTCAATCTTATATCAACTGTATAATAATTAAATTGTATTAGCCTAATTAAACGATATAAAATAGTAAATAAATTTTCTATTAAAAATATAAATCAATATAATTTTTTAGTTTACTTTATTATTAAATATATTTTTATATATTAATCTTATATAACTTCATATAAGTATTATAATAATACAAAAATTCAATACATATTTGTAGAATAAAGTTCAAGCATATAAGTATATATATGCGAGTATGGAGCGGGGTGGATATTAAGATGCCTATACAACATTTATCCTCATTAAGAGAAAAGAACAATGGAAGATTTAATTATAAATGATATTGTTTTTTATATCATTTATTTATATTTTTTATTTTTATAAAAATATAAAATTTTAAATTTTTTTTCTCTTTAAAAATTAATATTATTAAAATTAATACTTTTTATAATTTTTTAAAAAAATTCTGATTTTAAAAATTAATATATTTTGAAAAAAAAAACAAAAGAAAATTTTAATCGCGAAAGGTGAGAGAAAAAAAAACTACTTATTAATGAAAATTCAAAAACTAACATTAAAAAAGTTTTAAGAAATTTACATTAAAAAAATTCTATAATTATCTCTCCTAATTAAATAACTTTTAAATTGGGTTAAACTTTACTGAGCCCTCCTAAATATAAAATTTTAACTTAAGAAAAAAAAATTTACTTGTGTTGTTAATATTTAATTGAAAATAAAATAATTAAAATAAAATAATTAAAAATTTTATTTTGAAGTACCACGTGTTTTTATTTTATTTAATTGTATTAAAAAATTTCTTTTTCTTTTAATAAAGATTGTATAAAAGAAAATAATTTTTTTTTTTATTTTCTATCAAATTTAACCCAAATCCAACTTGAGTCGAGCATTTAAATGTGGTGGGTGAGTTTATTACAGAAATTTTTTTTACATAAATAAAAATTTAAACCTAAAACTTTACTTAAGCGATATCAAACAAGGTATATGTAAAAAACTTTTTTCTTAATTAAAAGCTATTATATGTTGATAAAATAAACATATACTTTTTTTATTTATTATTTTATTTATATAATTTACATGTAAGTGCTAAATTATGTATATAAACTTAAGATAAAATGTACACCAACATTTCACTTAAAACAGTCAAATCAATCCTATACATATAATTATTCTTTTATAAAATACGCATGCAAGCTACACAAACACAAAAAAAGTGATAACCCGAAGAATAACAAAGAAATTATTATCTTATATGATTAACTAATTTAGCTTAAAATAAATATACAATTCTTCATATGAAATAAATGATTTAAATTAAATATTCTTACTATATAAATAATATTAGAACCACATTCTTACTTTAAAAAGTTTCAAAATAGTGGCACCATTTAAATATTTCAAAAAATTGGAAGTTGTTTACATAATTAAGATTAAAACTACATAACTACTTAAAACTACCACAACTTATATATTTTAAAAATGTCATTCATATAAAATATTTGAACAGTAAAATCCATCACTTATCAAATAATCTAACTTGTTCAAAATAATTCATCTTTTATAGTCTCACATCTCTCTAGTCCTTTAACACATAATGGACAAAATTTCCTTTGTCCCTTATTACAAAATACGCTCTAATTTATCTGGTGCATTAACTTATTTTATTTATAAAATAACTCTTAATTCAATATACAAAATCAACATCTTAAACTTACTCACACAATAATAATGATGAGCAATCATGATCATCTCTCATCTACATTAATTAATTAGGTAAAAAAATATATTAAAGAAAATTTAAAATAATACATAAATTATTGATTAATTTATTCTCACTAATTAAATTAATCAGTTGTTTAAATCTCTAAATCATTTTGTTCTTATCAAGTTATTCGATGGTAATATAAACACATTTAAAATATATTTGTTAAAATACTCCTAAACAAAAACAACGGTATAGTATAATAAAAACCCGTAGCACTTGTATATTCCAACTGCCCTGATTTTGCAAAAAGACAAAAGGTAAAATTCAAAATGCAAGCTTTTTCTATTATAAATAAAAGTAGGCCACATTTTTTACTTGCTATAATACGAGGTATTGCATCAACAGTGAATACGCCACAACCTTTTTCTTCCTTTACTAAATACAAGGTGATCCATCAACAATGAGTAACTAATAACCCATCAACATTTTTGAGTACCTACGCCTCAACTTTGTGGGTAACTACGACTTTCTCTTGATTTTCGTATCTACATTCCCGTCTAATTCCTATGTCTATCTGTCACAAGGACATTCGAGATCATTTTCAGTGACCTTAAAATGCTGCGGGCGTTGACCAGAGCAATGCAAATTCCACATTTTAAAATATGATCTCTCGAGATTCCTCACCTGCAACAATTGACGTAACTTAGAATAATAGACATGCAACGCAAAGACTACTTGATTGTATATAATATCATTTGGAACTCACCCAGCGCGTTGTGTCAAATAGAGGGCACGTCAAGCGCACAGCTTTGAGCTTGTCGGTAAGAGCTTGAAGCTTCGGACGATTCAGAGCCAATGATACTGCTCTATCTTCATACTCTTTCATGCTACACAGATTCACAACAGTTAAAAATTAGTAAAGCAGAAAGTTTAACAAAAATAATTGTCAGAGGGGCATAAGCATATCGGTACTGCCAACTAGTCATCTAAAGGTCTTTGAGGGAAGTCAGGCAGCACTAAACAAAACAAATTGAAAAGTGCTAACCTGCTAACAATCATCTCCTCCCCCAATCCAGTGGCAAGACAGAGTGACCCAGCAACCCTGGTAGCCATTTTCTCAAGAGGCAGAGTAACCATCGGCAAACCTGCCCATAGTATATCTGTTCCTGTTGTATGGGCATTGCACAAGGGCCTAAAAGAAAACATCATATATATAAGACAACATAAAAACATGTAAGCAGACAACTGTAAGTATACAGGAAGGGGGTCAACTGGACGTGAACATAAAAATGATGCTACACAAAAAGTAGACGTGGAAAATTTACGTGTCAAGGAATAAGTCTGCTAAAGAACTTCGTCTGATGTGTTCATTCTTCATTGCGACATCAGTGAAAATAATTTGATCTGGCTGTACCCCTTGCGCAGCAGCATCTGAAAGAAGTCCATAAATTAGAAACAGCAAATACAAATATGATAATAAAAACCAAAAAGAACAGGTGTATTGACATGACAATGCCAAATAGAGAACTAATGAAAATGAATCCGATGCTACTGATCATCGAAAATGTTTTAAAATAGTATAATCAAACAAACGGCAACACATACATGCTCTCAGTCTCATTTCGCCTGCTGCAGGAAATCTCAGGAGCCAGAGTGCACTGTTGGGTACACGTTTAAGAATATTGCACCTACAATAATAAAAGCATAGTCAAAATGGAATATAATTGAGGAATCTTATACTTTATCTTAAAAAAACAATAAAGAACATCCTGACATTACCATGTATTAAATATTTCAGGATCCATCTTGTAAAGTTGATTGAAGCATGCAAATATAAATTTATCCTCAGGTAGACCATAATCTGATCGTTTGTGCTGGCAGTTTGGATCTAACACATCCTGATTTTTCTGAACAAAAAAATTATGCAGGACAAAGACATTAAATGTCAAGCATATAAATACACCACACACACTGACATAATTGAATTAAATCCAAGGTTTTCCATTAAAAGTTCATAAGCTAACCTGTTTATAATCATTTACAAAGTAGCAATGGGGGAGATGGACGATCTTTTCAGAATAAATGTGTGCATAACGCAGTGGTGAAACAAACTGAGAGAGAGGTCATAAGCAATCAGCAAAAATGAAAGATAATTTTAATAAAAATGCATGATCTCTAATTTGTCTAGCCTGGAAACATCTAGCATCTCACCTCATCGGTGACCAAGTAATCTATGTAAGTAGCCCCAGTTGTTCCAGGGAATCCCATATATGAAACTTGAATTGGTGCAGGTTGCATGGCAAATATCTCATTTCTGGCACCCTGCAAATAACAAGGGAGAATTACAACATGAAATAAAAAAATTACTCGACACTTGATTTTAAAAAAAAAATACCATTAGAAACCCAAGCAAACAATTTACCAGGTCATGATCCAATTAGGTTTCATACAACACCCAAGGAAAAAGTCATTCACATATATAGTAAACAAGTAAAATAAAACCAACTTTGACACGTAACCAAACCTGCATTGACTATGAAGTTTGACTATTTATAAGAACGTAGAAGAATTACTCCCTACCTTTGTATAACCATTAAGGTTGATAAGTACATGTATCTTATCCTCATTGATCATTTTTGCAACCGCATCTGATGACATGGCAGATACATCCACAAAGTGCTCTGCTTCAGACTGAATACGTTGTCTCCACTCAGTACAATCATTAGGACTCAAGGCATAGCAGAACACCTATATATATAGATTGTAAACAACACAGTGAGAACAGAAGAAAAAATATTTGGAAAACAAATAGGTTGAATAAAACCAAGTAAAATACCTCAACATTCTTCCTGTTGTGCATGCCAAAAACAGATCCCATGAGATGTGACAAGGGGTGATTGCCAAAGTCACTACTCACATACCTGCAACCCAAAAGTATCCCAAACTTACAATAACAATAGAAAAATTGGTATAAATAGAACAGTAAGCAAAGGGAAGAATTAAGAGATTATGCTCCATAATTATTAACATACCCAATTCTGAGTCTCTCATATCCTCCCTCCCGCTTAATTGGAATAGGAGCAGGATGGCTGAATGGAGGAAGAGCAAAACGAGTTGCAATTACAGAGCAGTGTGCAGCATATTTACGGCTGCAAAGAGTGAAAGGAAAAGGCATTATAAACTGAAAGAAAGCAAAGCAAATATATTATAGACCATTTCATATTATTTTAGATTATGTCTCCGGTGAACAGCAGTAGTCATACCTAATTTCCAGAGCAAGCAATGGGTCAAGTGGATATGCTATTGCATGGAAAGGCTGGACACTAGGAAGAACTGACATCTGAAAAACAGAGAAGATAAGGGTATTCAAATAAACATGCTTGTAACATATATTTATTAAATAGAAGAAAAGAAAAATGGAGAATTGCTTGCTCCTGACATTAATCTGCCTCCTGATTATCCCTTCAACTTCCTTGAACATTTTATCGCGATCCTCCCAACAGCAGACACACTGCAATATGATAGAAGATTATATTGATTGATGCCAAATAAAATTACAAACTACACAACTGAAAATTTTAATACTACCAATATTTGGTTCATAAAATTAGCAGAGCAAAACATTGTGAAAATCAGACAACAGAAAAAAAACATTTATATCAATTACACACATCAACAGGAAACAAAGTAAAAACATCTTGACTCCTTAGAAACATGTGGGAAAGGCCAGATGATATAAAAAGGCAATGCTAAAGTATAACAATGAACAAGAAAGAACCTTGAAGCATTTTAACATAGTGCATTGTTTAAAGGATCACTTTAATCAATTATACAGAAAAGTAAATCCGACACCTAGATGAAGAACATAATATAGTTCGATAAGGTTTAACAAAAAGCAGGAACACTTGTTATTCATTCCAACTGCATGACCTGACCAACACCATCTATCTGAGGCCAATCAACATGGCCAATTAGATGTTGAAATTGTGCATGGGGACAGAATAGAATTACCAATAATAAAAAGGCATAAGTGATAGGATCATGTCAATCGGTGCTCCACCAAACTCACTGAAAATGATAGAATTACACAAATGAATGAACAAAACCTGAAGTGTATGCAGGAGATTGCAAGTTGCTTCAGGGAAATCTGGACGAAGAATCAATGCCTGTCTATAGCTCTTTACAGCAGCCTCTACATGCCCACTGAAATAAGTAACACAAATTTGATGAGCTTAAAGCTATGACCAAGTATATAGCAATCATATTGTTTATTGCGTGACTGACAGACAGTGTTACAAGGGCAATGGAAGGGTATTAACTCTAGACAATACAAGGAAACCGAACACTGAAGATGTAGCTAACTAGAGTAAAGACTGTAAAGTAAAACTAAAAAATAGTTTCCTCAAGTCTCTCAAGTTAGGGGCACTTATGCAGTGGACTTCACCATCATAAAGCAAAACTGAAAATAGCATACCTATCTTTATAAGCTGAAGCCAAATTAGCATGGGCTTCAGCCATAGTGGGCCTGACAGTAATTGCACGTATGTAATCCTGGATAGCTTCACTAACTCTACCAATCTCCTTATATGTATTGCCTCTATTTACAAGCCCATCAGCTGCCAAGGGATCAATCCGGAGGACCTCATTGTAGCATGATATGGCATCTGCATAATTCCCCTGCAATAATATATGCCCAAGAAAGAACAAATTAGATTGGTAACAGATTTTTTAATCAAAATTCTTTTGTAAAAGCTTCCAATCCTTAAAATGCTTTATCAAGCCTAAATAGACCCAACAAGTGCATTAACAATTATATCATACATAATCACCACATGCTAGAGTTATTTCACATGGAGATTCAATTGGATTCTAGGTTTCAATACCTGCTGCTTATAGATTATGGCAAGGTTGTTATAAGGAGCAGACAATCCAGTGGTTACACTCAGGGTAGCTTTATAATATGAAGCAGCAGCAGCCACCATGTTCCTGCATCACAACAAATTTTTAACCAAGAAAGTCAAATACTAACATGTAGCACACAAATCACTACCACATGTTAATGTGAACATACAAGGACCACATACCATTCCATGTATATATTTCCAAGATTGGTCAATGCTTGCGGATGATTAGGCTGTAATGAAAGGCATTGCTTCACACCACAAAAAAAAAGGTTAAGAAGGGATTTTAATGGCATGAAAGCATAATGACTAGAAATATAAGTAATGTAAGGCAGACAAGATAAGAAAAAAACATACATTATAACACTGGATTGCTTCCTCCACTCTGCCAACATCTTTCAGAGCATTACCCTATAAGAAAATCAAAGAAAATATCATATATAATTTTATAATTGCATACAAAATTGCACAATCAGATCTTTTAAAATAAACTGGGACACAACAAGAAACCAACCAAGTTATTGTACGCTTCCAAAAATCTCGGGTCACATGCGACAGCATGTTTGTAGTGTAAAATTGCCATGTCCAGTTGACCTTGCTCATAATATATACTAGCCAAATTCCCTGTATACCATTTCAAATTATTAGCATAGACTGGATTTGCTACAACAGAAATTGTAAGGATGCATAAATTGACAGAATGAAAAGCAAATTTGGATTTGCCATAGTGCAATTTTACAATTTTCAAATTGTTATTTTTCATGCACAGCAAAAATAGTGTTGCTACAAACTCCTATCAGAACCATCTGTAATCTTATATCTTGACCGAAAGAGGCCATAAGATGTGCCACAATATATCCGTGGCCATTCATGATATAACATCATTAAATAGTGAATTTTCAGAAAATAGATAGCCCACCAATTACACAATAACAAATCACAGTTGTGCAAATATTATACAACTGATTATAACTTTTCTCCAAAAAATTGATTCCTCATAAGTCATAACATGATTGTTTGCAGCACCAAAGAAAATAAAAAATCCTTGGGACCAATGCTATCAATAGTTCAATACTCAGACCACCATGACAAAACTTTTAAAAGAAGGAAAACAAAGTTTTAAGTCTTTTAGATCTTTGATTAATTACTACTATCCAAAATCTATGCACTGCATTGATCTTTTACAAAGAAAATAAAATTAGCAGCACGAGGAAATAAAGTAAAACAACCCACCATAAGCCATGCCATAGTTTGGCCGTGTTTGAAGTGCATGCTGATAACATGCAATAGCTTCTTGAGGCATCCCTAAAGCCTGATAAAGCAGAAATGAAACTTTCAAATTTGCACCGATAACAATTAAAGTACCTGTTGCATCCAACCAACAACACTTAACACCATACCTTGTACACATTCCCAAGGTTCAGATATGCATCAGGGAAGGAAGGTTTTAGTTTCACTGCTTCCTGAAATATTTAAAAACAAAAAGCAAAATGAGAACATATAACTGGCAGAATTGTATGAGTAGCATCAGAGACAATTCGAATTACTAATACCAAAACTTCATGAACATGAAGCAAGAAGCATAAATTTAAGCGAGACAAGCACACACCACTAATGTATAATATGGCAAAACTTTCAGTATTACCTTTTACAGTAAACAACATTTAATCATGAGGGAAAGTTATCATGAGCGAATTAATTAGACTTTGACAATCTGATTCACTGCCAAGTTCTATCATGTCTTTGAAGAATTTTACTCAAGTATGTAGTGTAGAAAATAGATATACCTTGTAATACTGAAGGGCTCGGTTGAAATCACCAGACTCCATGAACAGACCAGCAAGATTTGACCATGCAATAGCAAAGGTAGGTTGAATGCGCAATGCCTCAAGGTAACAACTGTATGCCTGCACAAAATGTTAGATTCTGACTATTTGCAGTCTTGCAGATGGAAGTTACAACAAGACCAACCATCATCTGAGTCCTGGCTTGAAGACAACAACTTGATATCTGTATCGAACTGTGAATTTGAACACAGTTCCACGCACGAATTATTTAAATCAGTAACTAAGTATACAAAAGATGTAGGGTATAAAATACTAAGCATTGAAGGGGACCTCCAGGCTTCCAAGGCCTGCATATAGCCAATTTTATCTGGCTATACAGAAAATGGAAGATGAGTATGACCAGCAGAATACAGAGTGGTGTCGCTCATTATGGGAAATCCAGTAGATGAGAACCATCTCAGACCAAACAAAGGTAAAGAAACTGTATTGCCTCTGATGATAAGGTAGTACACCAAGATCTGGGTAAAGAGCATTGTGGCATAAAAGGTTTTAACTAATCTCCCACATAAAAAGGACTAATCCAACAGGATGGAGTATCACTCATACTAGGGAACCAAGTAGAGCATCGTCTCAAACTGGGAAGCACAATTCCTCTTAAGAGATACTTTACTGACTACAAGAAGGAGAATGTGGTACAACAAATCTAGATACAGATATGTTGCACTGCAACAGAAAGGTCATAAAGAAGAAACTAGCCTCCTAAGCAATAAGCTTTGACAGTCAGAACACCAAACTATAGGCTGTAGAAAACCTCAAAGCTCAAGAATACCACTTAAAACTAGAAAATGCATATCAAATGTAAGAACTTACTTCTTGCACCAAGCCCTGAGCTTTCATTAGATTACCCAAGTTGCTATGGGCATCAACCTGTAGCAGTACATAAACAACAAACTATATCATAAGATGGAAAGTAAAATAAAATATTACACCCTATGCCTTCTGACTAACTAGCTAGTAAGAAAAGCAATTCATCAAACAAAAAGAAAAGAATACCATTAGAGGGTTTATAGCAAGTGCTTGACGACAACACTGGGCTGCTTCAGTGAGTCTTCCTTTACGCATGTATGCACTAGCTAGATTTGACCATGCATCAGCAAAATTGGGACGAAGCTACAGCAGAAAAACAAAGAGGAGTAAAAGGTTAAACAAACCAATCAAGGATTGCACAAACACATGCAAAAAGGTACATAAGGAAAAAACTACTAACCATTGAAAGAGATACTTACAACAAATAAACAATAAAGCAACATTGATTCTCATAAAATAGAATTGGCACCAGCTAATTTCATGGCAAAGCTTATAGGATCGTCTTTAATAAAAAGAAAAAAATCATCATTCCATAGATGCAGAACATTAATGATCTATCATCGTTACTGACACTAAACAACAAAGAAATATTATAATAAAAAAACCAAAAATAATCAACAGAATCACATCCATAAATGAGGATTGAATTTATACAAGATATATCACCAGAAGATTTTCAGTTACTGGACACTAATAATGGGAACTTTCTTTTAGAAATATGGGAACTGAACTGCCATAAGTAACACGTCAGCTAATAAAACAATCACAAAAAAAAAAAAAAAAAAACCTACAAAGTTAATGGTCCAGAACATACCTCAATGGCAATCAAGTAGTAGCGAATTGCAAGGTCAATGTTTCCTTTTTCCTGCACAAAATAAAGCTCCGTTAATTTTGGAAAACTGTATGAATCCGCCAACTGCACACAAGAATAGTATAACAAGTTCCATCAAGTCATCCTAGCTAAGCAGCCATTACTTACCTTCCATGCATTTGCCATGTTGCCGTAACACTCAGCAAAGTGTGGCTCAATCCTAAGTGCTTCTTCATTTTTTGCAACACACATGTCAAAATCATGCAACTGCGCACATAAATAGTAACAAGTGTACAGAATGAATCAGAAAAAGAACAAGCAATCCGTACCAAGGATTATACAAAAATTGTCCAAGGATGACATACAAAACAGAGACATTAGAAGAATCAAACCTGATAATAAATTGCACCCAGGAGTAGTAAGTTGTCAGTACGGAGCGGATTTCTCTCATAGACAGTGTTGCTATGTTCTAGGGCCTGCTTATAATTGCCAGTCTTGTACATTTGATGTGCAAGAGACAAATGCAAATCTTCATCAACTGCATCATGGAGAAATTTGACCAAAGTACAAATAAATTAGAACAAATTGTTCATGAAATGCTCAGGATAATATAAATATGACACTTATAGCAACCATGTGACTCAGTAATAATCGTAAGACATGTGACTTTTCCTCGAGGGTTTACAGTTTACCATTCTAAGGAAAAAAAACCAACGAAATATGAAATAGACTACTCCTGCTCACCAAAAACAAACCTTAATAGCAAATAACAGAATGAAAAATCAGTATAGATTGTCCCTGTTTAAAATTCCCTACTAAACCCTAATTATGAGATCAATGAAGCCTGAGCTGAATCAAAACCAGTTTCCAATATTTTAGGCACACAAAAAGTATAAAACCTCCTGAAAAATCCTCCCACAGCTGAATCAACAGCACCAAAAAAAAACAACAAAATGACACACTGAACCAAAAACACAAGTAAGAAATAGGGCAATAAGAACCAAAAAAAATAATAAAGATTGACGCAGCATCAACAAATCACTGGATTTCCAGTGAATACAGAACAAAACCTTCATTAGAATCATGACCGCGTAACGGCAAAAGAGTGAGCGACGCGGGTTCCTGCTTGATGGAGAACGGCTCGACGCGATCCCCGGTAATCGGCGGCCGAGAAGTGTCGGCGGAGCCGGTAAGCTGCGGCTGGTGGTGGTAGTGGTGGCGGTGGTGATCGCCTTGCACGGAGATCATGATGCCAGTTGAGACGCGCGGCGAGAAAGAACGGAGCGGATTCAGAGGTCGTCGGAGAAGATGATCATGAAAACGAGTGAGATCCGAACAAGATCGCGCGAGAAGAAGTGGCGGAGGAAGAAGATTGCCCGAAAAATCCAAACCCTATGTGAGAAATTTCTAGAGTCTTTCTTCTTCTTTCTCTTCTCTTCGTGGCTTCGTTTCTGTTAAAATTGGTAAATTGGGAAAGGAAGGAGAAGTCTTTTTTTATATGTGATGAGGATCTTGTTTTGGAGAAATCTCGGCCGTTGATGTGAGGCAGAGAAAAAAGGCCACCGTTCGGTAAATGGAGATTTCATTATACACCGACACGTAAGTAGGTGTATTTTATTTTTATTTTTTTTCTCTTTCTTTTTCCTTTCGACAAGCCATGATAGATTTGATTATTCACCCTCCGGTTTCCGCATGCCTCCTTATTTTATTTTTTCTGGGAATTTCATTTAATATATTCTTAAAATTATTCCTTCAATTTTAATATAACAAAAAAAGTAAAGCAAATTGAATTCGTTTAAAATTTTAATTGAGGAGATTTAAAAAAAATTATTTAGCAAAAAATGCATTTATTGAGTTTAAAATATAGTGAAGTGGTTAATATTTACTTCATGGTAGTGAAAAATATTTAATAACATGCATTAAATATCTTTTTTTGATAGTATGCATTAAATATCTTTAATTAATGTTCTTGAAATACTTATTATTTAATCATTTCATATAAAATATATTTAGCATAAAAGAGATTCACATGATTTAACGAATTTCATATGAATTTATTTCAATAGTAAGTAACGTGATTCATGACCCTTGGTAGTGTTTCTGCTCGTATTCTTGTCGTGATCAAGGACCTACTGCAAAATATTGTTTGCTTGTAGGGTGCATGTTTTCTGGAAAGAGAAAGAACAATTAGGTGTGCTGAATGGTGTACTCACCCTTTCCACATTTCTCTTAATTTCTCACTTCTTCGACTTTATTCCCTTTATATATATTTCTGATTTCTGATAACGCTAATGCTGATACAGTGAATTTTGATTGTGTTGCTTTGAGTTGATTTTTGTGCTTTTGCCCTTTAGTTTATAGCATATATAAAAAATTAAAGTAATTACATGTCATGCAAAAGTAAAGGTAAAAGTAATTTAATTCTTTTTTAAATAACAGAAAAGAAAATGAAAAATATTAATATCAATTATATTTAAATTTTATATAAATGAATTTTATAAATATAATTCTAATTCTACAAAAAAATTTGAAACATTATAATTGTAATTTTAAGTTTAAGCTTCAATTTCAATTTAAAAATTTAATTTTCATGCACCAAATAAACACTTTGATGCATGTATTTAGACCTGTAATTCATAGTTATACTTTTAATTTTTTTAATTTAATCGTAATCAAAATTAGATAAAAAAATGTTAACGTATATCAAGTTGTTATAGCACAAAAGCATATTTCTAAGTTGATTTTTAATTATATTTCAATATCTCTAATTAAGGGGAAATATGAGCAAGATTATATTGGATCTAAAAAAAAACACGAATGGCAGAGGCGTCCTGGGAAAAAAGGGAATAGCAATATTTTAAGGAAACTTTCAACATTGAATAATTAAGCAAAAATAAATTTTAGGGTTTGTTTTTTCTGTTTTGATTTTTAGTTTTCAAAAAACTGTTTTTAGAAACAGAAAACAAACAAGTTCTAAGTATTGATAGCAAACTGTTTTTTTTATTGTTTTTAAAACTGTTTTTTATCCTGGCTTAAATTCTACTTTTGTTTTGTTTTGTTTTGTTTTTTTATTTTTTTTAATATCTCAATAATTTAAAAATATATAATTTTTCTTGAGGTAAGTGTTTCTATCTACCTTAATGGTGAGAAAAAAAATGAAACCAGCAGCACAATAATCTCTTGGTAAGAATAATTGAACTTTGTTGCACTGATAGCAAAGATGATTATTATAAGGATGACTGTTGGGCTCAAAACATAGGCATATTTAGATTTTTATGCAGTAGAGACAGTGGTATTAGTTGTGTGATTGAAAAAGAAAAGAAGAAGAGAAAGAAAAGAAATTACCGTTAAGATGACCGAAATAAAATAAAATAAAATAAAAAACAAAATCAAAGGATTAAACTAAAAAAAAGGCAATGATATAAAATACTATTTTTTTCAAACGATTATATATTACGAGTATATTTAATTAGATTATTCTTTAATATTATAATTTAATTGATAGATTTTTTGAAATGTGTTTAATAATTTAAAGAAGATGGCAAAACATACTGAAGTTGTGTTTATTTTTAATATATGTAAACATAAATTTTATTAATTAATAATAGCAATATCTACAATCAATTATTAAAAGAATCTGATTGAAGCGTATATACAATGAACGTGGACGGAATTTTCTAGAAAGCTGGGGTCGTACTGGGCGGTTTGGTAGAAATGTTAGGAACATTTATGAAGAATGGGTGGTGAGAATTTTATCATTTTTTTTCTCACGCCATTGATTGTGCTGTGTTATAAAACATAAAATTATTTTTTATTCCTATAAGCTTTGGGATGCTTGACCTGAAGAGCTTAGTAACTTGTTATTAGTGGATAGTGCAGGACTCTTTCATGCGAATATGCGATAATATTAAATACGATTTTTTTTTTTATTGAAATGGAATTTTAATTTTAATTAAAAAACGTTAAGAATATTGAAGCTTTCTCCTTAATTTAAATTGTTCCCATTGCAGCATGTTTTCCATGTTTATTAAATAACAAAGATTGTTTCATGCAGTGTAGATAAAACTCAACTTGATTATCAATGAGATTAATCAGATTGCTTAGAGTCGATTTAAAAATGCAAAGTTAGCTCGATTAATATTATTGTATTTTAATATTCTAAACAAATGTGCAAAGCCAAAAAAAAAATACATATCCATTCTTACCTAATACTACATGAAAAATTTGGGTGTATTTTAATATACGGTTTTTTTAATAAAATTATTAAAATATAGTTTGTTAGAAAAAAAAATTACTTAAAGTTAGAAAGTTAGAAAAATTACTTGAAGTTAGAAAGTTAGCTACTTGAAAAAATTCTCATTAAGAATTTTTAAATATTAAAATAATTTTTTACATAAAAAAATTGTCATTGACAAGTTTGAAGAAAAAAATTGACACTAAAAATTACTATTGACAAAATTTTTTTCAAACTTTTTTTACATAAAAAAATTTTCATTAATAACTTTTCAAACTTAAAAATTATAAAAATTGTCTTACTTAATAAAAAAAATATTATCAATATTTTTTTAAAAAAATTACTATTGACGAATTTTGAATCCTAATCTATAAATATCTATTTCTCATTCATAGTATATTGTAAATGAAAGTTACTAACAAATGAATTGTCTATTATAAGGTAAAGTTGATTAAGTGTTACAATATGTCAAAGAAGGAAACTACAAAGTAGTTGAGTCATAACTAAAGTTTTATTGCAAATGTGTTACTTATTCGTGGGCAAATATACTTGTTGAAAAGTAACAAAGAGAGTTTAAAATAAGTTCGTAAAATATCATCTCATAAAGATTATTTTTAAATACCAAGAATATCTTAATTCAATTATTTAAACTTAAATATGCGAAATTAAATAAAACAAGGATTTAAATATAAAAGTAATTAAGATGAATTAAATTAGTACAACCTATGACAATTATCTAATTGAGATGTATTTTAGGGTATATGATTTCACCTTTACATTTTACTATGTTCACTTTTATATTAATTCTAATTACAATTTTCTTATGACTGTCAACCACTTGTACGAAAGCTATTAATGCTCAATGTTCATGAAATGTTAACAATCTTTTTCTTAAGCTATTACTTCTAATGGTTATGCAAGACAAAAAGAAGAGAAAGTATGAAAAACCTACAAGCTGTTGATTTAATAATGATTAAAAAAAATAAGCTTGATCAACATAATTTTTGTCTCATTTTACCTTATAGATCCATTAACTTATGTGGTATAATCACTTATAATATAATTAATATGGTATGTTTAAGACTTGTCAATTCTGAACATACAAATATAGTGTAACAGGATAAACATCAATTAAGAAAAGAAATGAAGAGTATCTTTGATCCCAAGACGCGCTTCTCAAAACTCTAAAAGTCATCAACAGCTAGCCAAAAACCAAGATACACTGGTTGTAACGCTCAAAGTTTTTTAAATAGGATTTAGAATTTATAAGAGATGATAGTTATTGCATCCAAGATATATGTTTTATCTGTAATAAAGATATGATGTATTAAAATAAAAGATATGATTTACCAAATTTAAAATCTAAATTCTCTCTTCGCAGGTTCTAAAAAATCTCCAAGTTGGATGCACCAGAAGAGGAGCACGATTGTGCATACCCCCAATATATACAGCCATGCATATGACTCGAAGCATAAACATGCTTGTTGTTGAAGCATGATCACGCTTGTCCTATTTTCTATCAATTAATGTTCAAAACACCTTAATAATCTATCAGTGCTCTTAACATTCTAAACTATGATAATTAGTAGAATAATTAGTTCAAAAATCATTGAAATAAGAATAAGTACATAAAAATAGACTATAAAAGCATGTCAAAATATAGACTTATCATTCATATGATATAAATTATGGATGACTTATTAGTACTAGTTTCAAAAAGAACAAGTAAATTTGGAAAATCAAAAAGTATAATGTACCACACAATTATACTAGAGTAAGGATAAATTCATGATTAGTAAGATTCAATAGGAAGCTTCATTTGAAGCACATTTACAATGGTATGTACCAATGTGTGATATTATTCAAAGATTAATTGTTAAGTTGAATGTTACATAGACTTATCACAACGATAAGTTAGTTTCTAATGTTCAAATATTACCTTAAGTATTTTAAAATTTTAGTCCATACATTAAAACATTTAGACACTATAAATCATTTATAAGAGTTGATAAAATACATTTATATGACAAATATAAGAGAGTTTTATTCATGACAATTGAACAATCCGACAATCAAAATATATCTTTGATATGTTTTGCTATTGTTGACAATGAGATCGTGAATACTTGACATTTTTTTCTTAATAATTAATAATTAATGCTAACACACAATGACTCAAAATAATGTTAATATTATTTTTAATCCTTGTGAGTAAATTAATGTAGTAATAAGACAA